CCGTAGCCCGTGCTTTTCAGCATGCTGGGGTGTCTATGTATTTAGTTCCCTTCCGTGGCCCGTACGTTCCTGTCATGTTCTATCCATCTGTTCTTTTCATGGCTGCGTGCTCTTTCATCTTTCACGCTACTTATAAAACTTCGTGGTTTGCATCGGCTAAGTCTTCTATCATCGTCCATGGCCTTCCGTGCTTCGTGTTGCTCTTCTATCCCATCGTGTACATAGTGTAGGTCGGTATTCCTTCGTGTTTCGTGTCCTTGCTTAGACATGTGCATCCGCGCCAACTTAATCACAAACGCTGTTCCCATTTTGTTTGATGTACACAACGTATATTGTTTGATGTACACAACGTATATTTTTGGAAAGTTCACATAATATCTTAACGTCGCACACTACGCGCGCAAATACAAAGGAAGATAATACTTTTTCCCGGAGGTGCAGGGGTGTAAGCCACGATAGTCATATTTTAAAGTTTTCACATTATTAAAAAGAGTAATACAATTGTTATTTATTATTAAACGCTGATATAATTATTATGTGTACTACTACTACTACAAATGACTGCAAGCAAAAATATGAAATGGCTTGATAACAGTACTAAGAAAAATAATATTGTAAGTTAAATTAGTACAGCAGTACTACGAAGCCTAAAACATCATTCTAAATTAAATAAGTACTAAAGTTTCGATTGAGGCCGAAATATAAGTCACCAGGGCCTATAATTTTTTTCTCCAGCTCCTACGACGATATAGTACGTGTGTGCTCATCGTCGCCTTTTAATTGTGCTAATTAACGTGTACACAGGCAGCGCCCTTTGCGTGAGGTGGCGAACCGCAGCTGAAAATGAGAGCAAAATGAAATTTAAACGGTGCAGTTAAGTACGATGTGTAGTCCACATACAGTAAGTACAGCACATAATATCTGTTTTAGCCAATGGGGGCCGCCTTCGCTGCGCTCGGCAGCTTTTTAGCGAACGGCAGCCAGTAGAACGCGCGTATTTGCGTTACATTTTAGAACCCTACCCTCGGACGGACTGACAGACGCACACCAGACTCCACTAGGGGGGTAAGATTACTACATCACAATTTAAGCATGTCGCTGATGCACCCCGAGGTGTCAGATACGACGAAGATGACACGGCTCTTGTTGACGACCGTATTTGGGTACCAACGGGTGCGGAAGCCCTGGTGCAGCGAAAATTTGCTGCTAGCCACTGCGGAGTGCAAGGTCACTGCGGACTAGACTCCATGATTTTTACGATCGCTGCAGTTTTCTGGATCAGCAAATTGACGATATTGTGTCGGCGGCTCTTAAACCGCTGTCTTATCTGCAAACACGTCAAAGAAGGTAACATCATTGCACGACCCTGGGGTCCGACCTATGACGCCACGGAGCCCAACGAGCTTGTTCATTAGGACTATCTGTATATGGGTGACAGTAGTGGTCAGAGCAAGTATGGGCTGGTATTGAAAGATGGTTTGACACATTACTGCGAGCTCGTGGCTTGCGACTCGGCGTCGAGCGTAGCTGCTACAGCCGCGTTGGTCGACTGGTGGAAAAGGTTTGGAGCACCGAAGACTCTTATCTCGGGCCAAGGCAGTCATTTTAAGAATGACGTGGTCAGCCAAGTGTGCAAGCTTCTACAGATCGAACAGGAGCTGGGGTTGGCATTTGCACCTTGGATAAACGAACCAGTAAAGAGACTCAACCGCGACATCCTGCAAATTGTTCGAGTGCTGTTGATTGAGCTGAAGTTGGACACCCGGGAGTGGGTTTACGTGCTTCCACTCGTACAATGCTATCTCAATCACAAGCCAGTGTCACCACTAGGAAATAAGACGAGTGCGGAGCTATATACTGGACTACAACGGCTTAATCCAATTGAGCCCATTGTAGTCGAGATACGTGGGAAGCCCGTGGCTCTTACTGAAAGTGTTTCAATCCCTGGTGAAAAGATTGAACGGCCCCGAAGGCGTCTCGCTGAAATGCATCGCGAGGTAATCGACAGACGTGAGAATCGACGTTTGAACAACATGCAACAATCTAAGAGCGCACCGTGCAACATTCTCTGTTGGGGATTTCGTTCTCTCCACCAACAAGTTGCTTGCCCAGTGGATCGGTTCGTTTGAGGTGACAGAGGATCGACCTCACTCATTTGTCAGTCGCCACCTAATTACGAGTCAGCAGTTTGAAGTGCACGGATTCTTGTTTAAATTCTACAGTGATAGCAGTTTAGAAGTGAATAAAGAGCTACTCGCGCACGTCGGAAACCAAGGCATGGTGTTTAGTGTAGAAGCACGCAAGGCCCACCGCAAGGAACGCGGAGATTGGCAGGTGCTAGTATCTTGGGTTGGACTTCAAGATCAAAACGACTCGTGGAATCCACTTCGTGCCATGAACGAGGAGATCTCATCCGAGATTGTGCAGTACGTCCTGGCGTCCGATGATGAGGAGCTGTCAACAGCGTATAAGAAGATCTTCTTGGCCCTGGTAAGGCATAGTCTGGCAACGTAGCCCTTCAGGGGCTGTGTTGGGATTACCAGGACTTCGACAAGCAGAGCCTATGATCAGAGAATCCACATTGCAGCAAGGTGGCAATCGCATGGATGCCGAGCAGCAGGGTAGGGGTGAAGCCGAGCTGCAACTGCAACCAGTAGGCTCGCTCCTAGGGAGAATGCCGTCCTGCACTCAAGGAGGGATGAGCTCGAAGTAGTCTAGTTTAGTTTGCATTTGCAATAAATCAAGTAATACACGGCACAGGAGCGACATGAGCACCAAATAAGTTATAACACTGTTAAACTGCTTCTTGGGCCTCGTAGTTGCTATATCAGTTCTTGATGCGTTTGATGGGTCCGGCTTCGACTTGGGTATTCTCCGTTGTATCTACACAGCGAGAGGTGGCAGCATTTTCCGCTCCAATCACACTCGTTTTCCGCGCGGCAACTTGATTTCGTAAGGTTTGTCCTTTGTTGCTCGACTGGATGATGGTGTCTACGTCAATCCCACCACGATCAGAGTCTTCTTCGTCGTCTGAAAGATCGCCGCTCGCTCGAAGAAGAGCTCTGTAGCCACGTTAACAGCGCAATTCCGCTTCCGAAGGCATCTCGAACACTACGCGCTACAAAGGGAAACCAGCTTTGAAGTTAATTCACCTGTTTCACGACAATTGCATGCGGTATTGTACATGTACTGCTAAGTTTGCGGACCTGGCTTTGTACCCACCGAAAAGCAAAATGTACACGGGAAAACTATGGCCATTTGATGTACCCAAATGCATTTTGTGTTTTAAACAAAGTTATCAGGTTGGACTTTAATTGAGCTGACACAATATCAGCACAAGTATTAAACATATTTTACACGTCCGAGATGACAGTGATGACTACAGACCTGTTCTCCGCATAAGTGCCCCTCCTCGTCCACAGACCCCTTCGTAGGTTTAGAGAGCACTGGAGTGGTCTTTTGTTCTTTCTTATGCTTTTTGGTGCATCTTACCAGGCTATGAGGGTATGCAACATTTGTTACGTAGTCGATGAGCACTTTGCGTCTTGGAGAGGTCAGACCATTATTCTATAGAGGCAAGTGGATGAACGAGATAATACTACTTAAGTATCTACCAGTGCTGATGACGGAATAACGCTGACAAACACCTTTTACCCTCCCTTAGACAAGCACCATTTTTTTTTTTTTACAAAAACAAAATCAAGGAAAGCTCCAGATTTCCTACAGAGCTATATGCATAGAGGAACGAAGCGCTATATATTTACTTTTTCCCAAATACACATACATGGCATCTCTTAAACTCCCAAATAATAAGTAATTCACGCCAATGTACATCGATTCTGAGAAAAGATTAAACTCTAGTGGAAAAGAGATGAACATCTAGTTTTATACAAAAACGGATGAGCACCTTGTGCGAAGCAAAACAAACGGATGACCACCTAGTGTATACAAATGTATCCTATTTAATGAATGTACTGTGAGCTGAAGGGAGATCGCGGGAAAACCTGACGGCTAGAGCGATACATCCAAAACAAAGGAATGAGGCCGCGACACTCCTGTGGGCGTACCTTACTGATTGGTAGACATAATGCCAACCCCTAGACGGTGACTGTCAGCCACGCATTCCGCAAGCGCCTGCACCTCTATTTAGCTCTTAGAGCCATTCGAGAATGTAATTTCCCACAAATACCTTCCCCCATTCTCAGTCCATGACGTAATTCTTCCACGCAGGTGCGGGCCTCGGCCTGACGCTCATGTATCGAAATATACAAAAGCTCCACGGCAGCGACGTCGCTGCCATTTTGAAGCTTTCCTGTCAGTGAGTCGAGGTAGCTGTGTCAAGATGGTATCAGTTCGTAATTTAAAAAAGCGTAAAGCAAAACACTTACATTTTCTGTCGTCTGCCGTCCAAATCACATCCAATGCGTTCTGGGAGATGGGTGAGCTTGAAGGAACTGAAGAATACTGCTTTTAGTTCTTTTTTCTTGCTTCTTTCAGAAAACTTAATCCGAAAGTTGAGTTTGTTTGGCAATAGCAAGCAAGCTCCAACGACGGTCTTGGACTGTGGTGATCCTGGTAGTACCATACATATAAGTACAGCCCGTTAGTCTTGTAAAGGTAGATGTGATATATGTAAATACGTACCTTCATCAATGTGTGAGGCAAATCGAGGACCAACAAGCATCTCGTTTCGTAAAATTCCAGGCAGGAGGGAGTCGTTTAAAACAATAGCTGTGCCGGCGCGTAGATTGTCCACACAGGGCGCCTTGATTACACGATGGTGGGCTTCAATAGCGTTTTGATGAGGTATGATACCTGGTACCCCTGACGCTGCAATAAACCAGGATTCCCACGGCTCCCGTAACTAATACGCGGTCAGCCACTCCGCAAAATCGGCACCTCCGTTTTCACTCCAAAATTTATCATCACCTTCGACAGCGCATAAAATTGGTCACGGAATAGTGTAAGTTTTGTATTAGCGGCAGCACGGTAGCGTCATATACTTCCGCACTCTGATTCTTGCATACTCGCTCCCGAGCCTTTCTTGCGAGGTGTGGCCAGCAATCGAGGAGTTGGATGTCTAGCCAGACAGTTTGATACGCGTTGGCGATATAGCTGTCATGGTCCAGACTAACAAACACCAGGCTGAGATGTACACAAAAAAACCGCTCAGCCAGCCGGACAGTTGTTCGAAATAGTCGCTCGCAAGCAAATTGGTGCTCTGTCCTCACAAACATGTACTTCCTCTGGTCGGAAATGATCACGCGAAGTAAGTATGATAGGTCAATAGTGCTGTTACCCGCTAAGAACTTATTTTACGATTTATATAAAGTTATAGATCACATTACCTGTCATTTATAGATCACATTAACTGTCATTTATGATGATGTTAAATTGAATAGCAGTGCACTGCCACGGTTTGAAGACTTAAGTAGCGCGACAGCAGACTCATACAGCTCTTTGCTACATGACAAACTAACAGGAAGTGGTTTCGCCCTCCGGAGCTTGGCTTTCCCCAAGTGCGGTAGTTTGTACAGGTTGCCTCCTCCTTCTCGTAAAAGCTCCAGCATACATGCCTGTAAGGTAAAAAAAGTATCATCTACCGTGTCAGTCTCCAGCTGCCGAAACGCGTCCACCACCGACGCTATGAGAGCGTTGATACCCTTTCTTGGTATTCGATACTGAATACTTTGCATGGAGGCGAACAGACCCAGGTCTAAACAGTTGAGGTCAGGCGAGTTGGGGGGCTGACATAGTAGCTTGATGTTCCATCCTCCTTCAGTTCCGGCCTTCATTACATCCGGGTCTGTTGGCGCTACGTGCGGCTTTGCATTGTCTTGTTGTACGAATATGATTTCATTCCGATCCTTCCTTGGCCAATTTGCTTTGATCGCTGGAAATACTTTTGTCAGAAGATAATCCTTGTACACTTCCCGACAGACCGTATCGATATTACGAGTGCAAATAGTTCCTTTGTCTCTATTTTTGCTTCGCCGTTTCGCCTCGTACTGTTCCGTGAAAGACCATATACCAACTTTGCCATCCAACGCTGCTTTCGGTGAGGATCGTACCTAAAATTAAAAATCAAATGTTAGAGGTTTTTATATTTCAAAAATATAATATTATAGAGAATTACCTTGGCCGTGCGAGGGCAGCTAAAAACATCGTCTTGGGAACGAATCGTTTACTCTTCCAGGCGCGTGCAGGTAGGTCTTCGCCGTCGAAAACGAGGTATGATCGTCTGTTGCGGTCTGCATAAGACCACATCTCGTCTACATGGACTAGATTGTGCATTGGCTCAAACTGCAGAGTAGATTCGTCGATAAACGACAACGCGTGCTCTACCCGCCGTATCTTGTTTTCGTTCGTTAGCGACGGCTTGATAAACGTGGTTCGTCGCGTTACCATCCCTTCATTCACTGCATGTCTTACCAGATGCCTGGAGAGACCAGAGACCGCCGCCACACGTCTTTCAACCGCTCTATCCTCGATAGGAACACTCTTCAGTTTGTCTCGTACTTCGTCTCGATTCTTCCGCTTTCTGCCGCTGTTCTTCTTAATCCGGCTACGCCAATCACCCCCCACGACACCAGCCGTCACTGTAGAGCTGTACCGCTTCCAAATTAACCTCACGGTGTCCGGATGTCGGCCCATAAGAACACCAACCTTAGCAAGCGCTCCACGGGGTAATTCTCCGTTGTTGCTGATTTTTAGAAGCTCGTCAATGACGGCTTTGCGCTCATTATCGGTAAGGTTGGGCTTCGGCATATTTGTAGAGGAAGAAACAGCGTGGTGCAGACGTGGCGGGTCGCACTCCAGGCGAGGCTTGAAACCTTGAGAGCGAAAAGTGAGATTGCGGAGGCTACAGAAGTTCTTTCGGCGCAAAACTGGTGGCTGTAGGAAGAGGAGATGCAGGGCTTTCGTTTAGTCCAATCAGACGCTGAATTGGGTAAATAGAACTAACGCAATTGGTCAAATTGTCGACTTCGCGTGATCATTTCCGACCAGAGGAAGTATACATGGTATAAATGTTTTTGAAAACGTGTTGTTTGTGAATCGTGAGCCATTACTACCAAAGTCTACGAAAGTCCAGCCCCCTACAAATAAATTGAAATAAATAAAAAAATAGCTTATTTTACAGTTAATTTCAGATAGTGAAGCTTCAATGATATACCGAAGTGAAGTTTGTATGTGCCGTCGGTGGCTCCCAGGAGTTGACTGCCTTGTGCAACTTGGCAGTTTAGCACGGTGTGTAACATACAGCGACTGGTGACGATAAGCCCGAGCGAAGTAGCCCTTGCTCCGTTGTCGTCCTTAAGCGTGTGCTCAAAAATGTCAAGCACCAATAGTTCGTTCTTCTGCTGCCCGGAATAGGACACAAGCGTATCCCCATCGTTCGTGTCGTCGAACGATGATCCCAAAAAGAAGCCATCGCTTGAGTCGCACATTCGTACACTAGCCCACTCTTTCAGCGCCGCTGGGGTCGATATTTCACATCCACTTGTTGCACTATTCCAATAACGACATGCTTAAACATTTGTAGTTATTTGCAATTTATGATAGAAAAAATATTTTACTTAAATAAAGAAAGCTTACCCGCTGTTGACTTTTCAGGTATACCATCCTGGTTTTGAGCTGCCCCTTAGTTGGAAGCTTCCCCATCACATCAGCGTCTTTTTCAAGTCTTGCCCGAATTAGTCTCAAACAGATCCCTTAGTGCCCCCAGCTTCTTTCAAGACAAACGACGACACCAAGTCCATCACTTCTGGTATTCTGACTAACTTTTCGCGTTTCAGGTGAAACGTGCACCTTTACACAGATGTCTAATGTCCTTCAGAGCGCTCAAACGCGTACTGGTACACAAAGGGTGAGCCAAATGGCAGTAGTGCAGTAGTGATCCGCGCGCTGTCGCGTGTTGGATGTGATGAGATGGCTTCAAACGTGCGCTCAAATGCTAGCGAGTCGTCGTGGGTGTCTGTCACGGGGTCACACAGCAGAGGAAGTGCTTAAGGGTATTAACTACCCAAGTGAACGTTAGTCCACGTGTTCCCGGCCTCAATGGGAACGGTTTGCTACTTAGAAGAGTAGATTTTAGACTGATGTATTTATAAGTAAGATAAGCTTGGGTCTCAAACTAGAGGTTACCTATAGTGGAGCTAAGTAGTCATGCGCTGACTGGCTCCGAGAGCACCTGGTACCGTGTACCAGGTGTCCACAAGAGTGACGGGTCACTCTCTTTATGTAACATGGGGCACACTGGATTGTACCCCGTTACATCCTCCCGCACTTAACTGAGAATCACCTGATTCTCCAATCACAACTGATTCTCCAATCAGAAGTGAGAGAATTAAAACACCAAAAGGTGAATTCTCACACTGAGCAGCCACGAGACTGGTGCGGCTCTCAGTCGCACCCACAGTGACTTGTGCTGCCAAAGCTCACTGGGATTTGCATCCCTATGCTCACAGCTGTGTTGGCCGCAAAGCCTATACCCAGAGCTGCCTTAGCTCCTGCGCTAGCGCGCGTACAGTGCTTGGCACAGGGTGCAATAGCATCCGAACG